GTGACTCCCTCTCTCTTTGACCCTCCCCTGCTCACGCTCTCTCTCTCTCTCCTAGAAATAAATTTTAAAAAATATATATTTAAAAGACATTGTGGCTTATATCTGCTCTCTTGTGTCACTGGCTTTGAGGGAGACCAGCGCCCTGTTGTGAGAGGTTCACGTGGCAAGTGACTGAGCCCTCTGGCCAACTTGTGCACTATAAGAGGGGACCACTTTGAAAGGGGACCCTCCAGCCCTAGCTGAGCCTTCAGATGACCGCAGTGCCAGCTGACATTTTGCAGCTTCATGACATACGCAGGGCTAGAACCACCCAACCACACTGCTTCTGAATTCCTGCCCCTCAGAAGCCGTGTGCGATAATAAACGTTAACTATTGTTTTAAGCCACTAAGTGATGGGATGATTCGTGAAAGCAAAAATAAGTAACAAATACAGATATGATTTAAATATTAAAAATTTTTTTAATTTATTTATTTTTGAGAGACAGAGTACAAGTGGAGGAGGGGCAGAGAGAGAAGGAGACACAGAATCTAAAGCAGGCTCCAGGCTCTGAGCATACGTTCAGCACAGAGCCCGTCATGGGGCTTGAACCCACGAACTGTGAGATCACGACCTGAGTTGAAGTCTGACGTTTGACCGACTGAGCCACCCAGGCGCCCCATGGAACCACTGTTCTTGCAAGTGAGTCCTGTATGCAGGGCAGTGGCCAGAATCCAGCCTGGTGGACAGGCAGGGTCAGGGGGAGAAATGTGAGCTGGGACAAGGCCACAGGTCTTGGATCACGAGGCCCAGCTGGGAGGGCCCAGCAAGTGGCAGCTGCAGGGGGCGTAGCAGGTGAGTGGGCACATGGGCAGGAATCTCCCTGGGCTGGTTGGGTTAGGAGCCTCAAGAGAAGAGAGAAGTGAGAAAGAAGGCATCTGTGCTTGGGGTCAAGGCAGAAGCCAAAACTGAGCGTTTCTAGCCCCCCTGGCCTGGGATCCTTTGCCTGTGACTTGAGAGACCCAGGGCTCAGGATGAGACAGAATTGTAGTCGTGCAAGGTGGTAGAGAGAGAGAAAACAATTATGTCCTGAGCACTAATAAGTGCTGGGCATGGACGCAGCCAGGTAGATGATCATCATCTTTTTTTTTTAATGTTTATTTATTTTTGAGAGAGAGAGAAAGAGAGAGAGAGAGAGAGCACGCGCGAGCGAGAGGGGGAGGGGCAGAGAGGGAGATGCAGAATCCGAAGCAGGCTCCAGGCTCTGAGCTGTCAGCACAGAGCCTGACGTGGGGCTTGAACCCACAAACCACGAGAGACCGTGACATGAGCCAAAGTCGGACGCTCAACCGACAGAGCCACCCAGGCGCCCTGATAACAGGCAAGGAAACAGGATCAGGGAAGCTACTACCTTATTTCTGACTCCAAATCCCGTTACATCACACAGCCTCCAGCGCAGAAGCAGAACTGAGCTGTTGCTTTGTTTCCCTATTGCTCAAAGAAGGGCCTTTGGCAAGTTGACTTAATCACTTTTCCAGTGAGAAGAATGTTCCCATAATCCCCCCCCCACCCCACTTTCAGAGCTACTCCCTCAGGCCAGGCTTCCATGTCAGGGCGCTTAGAAGATCACCTGTAGGCTTACACATCTCTGGTGCAAACACCCGGCTTGTACCTGTGAAACAAATTCACAGGGGAACCTGTCACTGGCTGAGCAGCATGCTAGGGCCATGGCAGTGGGTTAAGACAGAGTTCCTGTCCTTCAAAAAGTTCCTTGTCTAGGGGCACCTGGGTGGCTTAGTCAGTTAAGCGTCCGACTTTCACTTAGGTCATGATCTCACGGTTCGTGGGTTCGAGCCCCGCGTCGGGCTCTGTGCTGACTGCCAGCTCAGAGCCTGGAGCCTGTTTCAGTCTGTGACTCCCTCTCTCTCTGACCCTCCCCTGCTCATGCTGTCTCTCTCTCTCTCTCTCCTAGAAATAAAAAAAAAAAAAAGTTCCTTGTCTAGAAGAGGAGAAAGAGAAGTCAAGAGAAGGATCCTGCATTGTGCAGTGAAACCCTGAGAGGGAGCACCTCCCCTCGCCTGGGGGCATCAAGAAAGCTTCCGGAAGCTAATCTCTGAGCTGAGTCATCATTAATGAGAAGTCTTTTGCCAGGGAAGGGAGGGAGGAAATGGCAGGTGTTGAAACAGCGTGTGCAAAGCCCTCAGGAGCTTTCTAGGAACCTAGGGATCACCTATACCTGGAGCACAACCTGGAAGGAAGAGACAGGAGTGAGGAGGGTGAGCAAGCCCTGGGACGATCGGTGAGCAGGATCCTGAAAGTGGGGAGGCAAAAACTGAAGGGGAGATGCTAGGAACAAAATGTTATCCGAGCTGCAGGTGGACAATCGGGGCAAAGTGAGGGCAGAGAAACCAGTCAAGAGGCCACTGTAGAGAAGAACCAGTGAAGTCCACGGCCACGGTGGGGGGAGGATGGGAGCTGTGGGGGAGAGGCACGAAGGAACAGCATCTATAGGACTCTGTGATCAAGAAGAGGCAGGGGCTCCTGGGTGGCTCAGTTGGCTAAGTGTCTGACTTTGTCTCAGGTCATGATCTCCCAGTTTGTGGGTTCGAGCCCCACATCGGGCTCTGTGTGGACAGCTCTGGCCCGGAGCCTGCTTCAGATTCTCTGTCTCCCTCTCTCTCTGCCCCTCTCCCACTCGCACTATGTCTCATCTCTCAAAAATAAACATAAAAAAGAAAAGAGGCAAAGAAGTCCTATATCTTTCCAGTAGTTACATGACCCAATATTTGTCCTTTTTTGTGTTAAGCCCATGTTACATTTTCTATCATTTGCAACCGTAAGCATTTAGGTCTTGCATGGGCTTGGCTGTCCAGAGGCAAGTGAATGTTTGAAGTAATGACACCGCTCTCTCCATTCCTTCTTTTTTTCCTTTTTATTCATAGACCTTATTCTTTTTTTGAGAGAGAGGGCGCAAGTGAGCAAGAGGCAGAGAGAGGGAGAGGAGGAAAGAGAATCCCACATGGGGCAGAGACAGAGGGAGAGAGGAGAGAGAAACAGGGTTCACATAAAACTTGAGCTCACAAATGGTGAGATCATGACCTGAGCTGAAGTCAGATGCTTAACCGACTGAGACAACCAGGAGCCCCTAGACTTTACTTTTTTTTTTTTTTTTTTTAGCACTTTTAGATTTGCAGAATAACTTAACAGAAAGTACAGTCCCTATATACTTCTCTCCCTGCCCCCTGCCCCTTTCCCCCGTTACAAACATCTGGCATTAGTGCGGTACGTTTGTTACAATGAACGTGCCCATATCAATACCTTATTATTAACTAACATCCAGGGTTTACATTAGGGAAGCTCTTAGGGTTGTACATTCTATGTGTTTTGGCAAATGTATAACAACCACTGTAGAATCATACAGGGTAAGTTTCACTGCTCTAAAACCCCCTGTGCTACACCTCCTCATCCTTCCCCGTCTCCCTCTCAACCCTTGATTTTTTACCTCGCAGTTTCAGAGTTTTGCCTTTCTTTTCCAGACGTCATACTTGGAATCATACAGTGTGAAGTCTTTCCAGATTGGCTTCTTCCACTTAGCAACATGCATGTAAGTTTCCTCCACGTCTTTTTGTGACTTGACAGCTTATTTCCATTTTTTTTACATGTTTAAAATGTTTATTTACTTTTGAGATGGAGCGGGGGGAGAGGGGCAGAGAGAGAGGGAGACACAGAATCCAAAGTAGGCTCCAGGCTCTGAGCTGTCAGCACAGAACCAGACGTGGGGCTCAAACTCACAAACTGGGAGATCATGACCTGAGCCCAAGTCAGACGCTTAACCGACTGAGCCACCCAGGCGCCCTGACAGCTCATTTCTTTGCATCACTCTTACTTCTTTCCATTGCTGAATTAATAACTCTTGGTATAGATGTACTAGTTTGTGTATTCATTCGCCTATTGAAAAATCTTGAGGGGCACCTGGTTGGCTCAGTCAGTGGAGCGTGCGACTCTTGATCTCGGGGTTGGAAGTTTGAGCCCCATGTTGGGTAGAGAGATTACTTAAAAATAAAATCTTATTAAAAAAAAAATCTTGGTTGCTCCCAAGTTTTGGTAATTATGAAATAGCTGCCATAAACATCCACGTGCAGGTTTTTATGTGCACGAACGTTCTCAGCTCGTAGGAGAAAATGCCAAGAAGCACGCTTCCTGGATTGTATAGTAGCAGTGCCTCCACCCCTTTAACTCGTTCACGTCCACTGGTGGGGCGGTTGCAGGGTGACCCTACCAAGAAAAATGATGCCCGAGAATTGTAGGTCTTGGGCTTGTGCAGAAACATAAATGATCCTCCCTGGGGAGCTATGGGTGTTCCCTTCGGACAGAGGTCCTTACTCAGGTCCCCCAGTGCCCCAGAATCCACATGAGGAGGAGGGAGGGGTCGTTGGCCCTCCTCAGAGTTTCAAGGGGTCCAAGAAGCAAGAGAAACTAAGGACACATTTTACCTGCAGCCGAAGGAATCCGTAGTGAGGGGAAGGGGAAGAGCAGCTGACAGACACCCCAGAACTCGGCATGCCCCCGAGGAAACCGGGCCATCTAGACCACTACTAGCTCTACTTCTGGGGGTGGATATCCACCAGGAGCCTGGGCCAGGTGTGGCGCCTGCAAACAACACTCTCCTCTCTCCCCCAACTGAAAGAAGACTAGAAAAGATACAAAATAGATGAACGTAAGGGAAGAGAAGCAAAAATAATATAAAAACAGGGAGGGGGACAAAACATAAGAGACTCTTAAATACAGAGAACAAACTGAGGGTTGCTGGAGGGGCTGTGGGTGGGGGGATGGGCTGAATGGGCGACGGGCATTAGGGAGGACACTTGTTGGGGTGAGCCCTGGTGTTACACATAGGGCATGGATCGCTGGAATCTACTCCTGAAATCAGGGTTGCACTATATGCTGACTCACTTGGATGTAAATTTAAAAATAAGTAAATTTAAAAAAAGAAAGAGAAAGAAGACTCGAAGCACAGTGATATAATGGCAAAGTCCATTTGCAGTTTATTGGAAAAAAGAGGCAGCTGTGAAGTAGAAATGCAGATGTTTTCCTTGTTGTAAAGACAGCAGTTACAAAAGAGAATAAATACAATGTTAGGAATTCTTTAAAAAAAAAAAATACAAGAAACCCCGGTATTTGTGAGCAATCCCAAGAATACACAACATATAAAAATTTGTGCTGGGGTAAGAACAGCTTTACCTCAACATCTTGGAGCAGAAGTTGGAAACTGGCCAGATGAAGACGGTCATGACTTTTGGGATTTTGAAAGGCTCTGGATTTGTCCCTTGGGAAAGTAGGGGTTTACAGTAATTTATTTGCATAGTAGGAATTAATAGGGATTCTCCTATGCATTAATATCACTTATGATTATTTTCTCATTCTTGCAGGTAAGTAGCAGGCTATTTAAGAGGAAGAGGAAATGAGAAGACACGTTTGAAAGGGGTGAAGAGGGTGGGTCCAGGGGGGATTGCTAAGTGGACAGGAGAACGGTGATAGGAAGGAACAGGTCTTCCTATCTGTCTCCTATTTGGCCATCTCAGTAGCATGCCACCCCCCTGCTGAAGAGGGGGCAGGCCGCGGTCCAGCCTGGCTTGCCTTAAACCTCACTGTCATCAAAGCACAGAAGATACCAAAGCAAATGGAAGAATCAGGCTCAGAATGCAAGCAGGGAAGCTGAACAGGAAAGGCAGAGGAGGGGGACCCCAAGGGGAGAGGTGAGTTCCCTGGGAAAATGGGCAACATTAACATCAGAACCCTCCAGGGACTATGTCCTCAGAGGACCATCAAAGAGAGAAATATCTGCACAAATTAACGCTCTTTGATGCGAAATGGCAAAGGGGCAGGGACAAAGTACAAGCTGCGGAGTAGAGGCCCCATCTGGCTACAGAGAAAGCGGGGGGGGGGGCGGGGGGGGCAGTTGGCTCATCCAAGGACCCTTGGAAGAGGCTCCCACACAGGGATGAGAGCCACTCCCTGCCACTCCAAGAGGCAAGGAGTTTGCATTGCTTGGTGGGCGTGGAGGCAGGTTGGTGGGAGGGGGAGGAGTGAAGAGGCCCAGCCAGCTCTCTTGGGGGCATCTGCGAGGCACTGTGTGGATGGAGGTCAAGGGTGCCTGACTATGTGCTGAAAGCGGCTTTGAGCTCCCGGAAGGCTGCCTGGCGGAGCCTCCTCTTCTCCTCCTCCTGCTTCCGCTCATCTTGCTCGGCTTTTAGCTCGGCTTCAAACTTACTGGCACAGGACAAAGCTTGGACCTGCAGAGAAACAGCAAAAACAAACCGATGGACTGAAGGAGGAACTTGGAGACAAGCAACCCATCCAACAGAATGTTGGCTGGAACTGTGGAACCTGGGAACCCGGTCCTGCTGCGGGGCAGGCCCCCCCACCCCCTGGGAACCAACACTCCTCTTTACAAGTTTGTTTAAACTATTAGTGAGGATACCATCCCTTCCTTTGCCACTGCGTTCTACGTCCCTAGGGTTGGTCTTTCCACTTTTCCAGGATACTCTTTAACATGACCGACCACCAACTCTTAATTTCACAATAATATTGTTCTAGGGGAAGAAAACAAAGACAAAAGCAAAACGAACTCCCTGCTGGGATCCTAACTGCAATCCCTTCCATCTGCCTGTGGCAAAGGGGACCTTTACAATAGATCAATCATTCTGAATTTACTTCCAAATATCACATGGTTTTGTTGGTGTTGTGAATGGGATTTAGGGACATTTCTTTTAAATCTAGTTTATCTTTAATAATACTGTATCAGATAAATCCATCTTAGAATCCTCTCTTCTAGAGCTCATTCCTCCCCCCACCTTCATCGATTTGGTAAAAATCCCAAGCACATTGGGTGTGCACGCTATTTTAATAAAGAATGCCAAATTGCGCTCCAGAGTAGCTGTTCGTATTTACACCCCCACCATCAGGGAATGTGAGTTCTCATTTCCCCACAACCTCCCCAATGTTTATCAGGAGTAAACTTTTTCTTGTTTGCCAATCTGATAGAAGAAGGAAGGAAGGAAGGAAGGAGCCCACAAAAACCTGGCACCTTCTTTTATTTCCTCTTTGGTAAATTACCCATTTCACTGGGGTTTTTCATTTTGCCATTCTTTGCATAATTTAGGCATAGTCCCTTGTTATATATTTTTTGGTTACTCTTACTTACTCTTTTGATTGTCTTTTAACTTCAAGGTATCTTGGGCCAGGTGAATCTTTAAATTTTGATGTCACCAAAATTTCCAATCACTTCCATTCTGGCTTTTGTCTCTCTCTCTCTCTCTCTCAATGTTAATTTATTTTTGAGAAAGAGAGCACGAGCAGGGAAGGGACACACAGAGAGGGAGACAGAGAATCCAAAGCAGGCTCCATGCTGTCAGTGCAGAGCCCGATGCGGGACTCGAACCCTGAGCTAAAGCTGGACACTCAACCGTTTGAGCCACCCCATGACTTTGTCTTTTATGTCATGTGTAAGGTCTTCTATACCCTAGGGCTCTAAAACCATTTTCCTCTCATGCTTTCCTGGCTTTATTTTCCCATTCAGCTCTTAAAGTCACTTACACTGTATTTTAGTGAAGGAATATATATCATTTAAATGACTTTACTTCATTTTCCTAAGAGGAGAAGCCAATGGTCTCAACACGTTTTATTGAATAGCCCATTATTTTTCCACTGACTGGAAAGTTATCTTATTCATGTACTAAATTCCCACATGAAGGAGATCTGTTTTTACTATTTTCTATCCTGTTCCCCTGACTGATCTGTTTATTCCTGCAGCCACACTACATTATTTATTGCCACTTTAGAAGGCCTTGATATTTATGAGAAAGTATTCATTATGTTGACTAAGCACATTCTTTTCATACTTTAAATGTCTTCTATGAATATTAAACTTCACCAAGTGTTTTGAGATGTCTCACTGAAATGATCACAGTTTTTATATTTGATACCTGAGATTTGTATTTACTTATGAAGTTTATTTCTTTGGAGAGAGTGTGTACAGGAGGGGCAGAGAGAGAGAGAGACAGAGAGAGAATCCCAAGCAGGCTCCCCGCTGATAGTGGGCAGCCTGACACAGCACTGGATCCCATGAACCAGGAGATCATGGCCTGACCTGAAACCAAGAGTTGGATGTTTAACCGAGGGGGCCACCTGGGCGCCCCTAAGAGACTTTTAAAATTATCCCTGCAGTCTTAACATAAATTTCAAATGTTTTACGATTCCTACAGCTATATTCATTAGATTGATATGATTTTTTCTGATGTGCTGTTATCTGATTGTTATCAGAATCATGGCAGCTTTACAGAATGAATGTGATACAGGGGCGCCTGGGTGGCTCAGTCGGTTGAGCGTCCGACTTCGGCTCAGGTCATGATCTCGCGGTTTGTGGGTTTGAGCCACATGGCTCAAACCCATGAGCCAGGACCCATGTCGGGCCCTGTGCTGACAGCTCAGAGCCTGGAGGCTGTTTCAGATTCTGTGTCTCCCTCTCTCAGATCCTCCCCTGCTCATGCTCTTTCTCAGAAATAAATAAAACATTAAAAAAAAAAAAGAATGAATGTGATACAATCCTTTCCAATATGTTTGAACTAGTTTGTGACATTGGAAAAAAAAAAATGTAGAACATTGAAGAATTAATCCCTAAATTCCTGAGCACTTAACTGTTTGAGGGAAAGGGTTGGAGTTAACCCTCTAAATGTCTTTACAATTCATCACATTTCCTGCTTCTCTCAAATTTATAGAAAAGCATTCCCTTTCCTTGAGTGTTTAAATGATTTTAAATTGAGGTGTCAAACCTCTCACAATTTTTAACTAGCGTGTTCCTGGGTTCATCATCTTTTCTCCGTATCTCCTTTTCCCCGTCACAAGCTTCCACGTTTGGGTGTCCCTCTGTCTACATTCTGGTTCACTCAATCACTTCTCTGCCATGTTGAGGCTAAGATTTACCGTCTCCTACCATGATCTTTACTCAGTCCGTTCTGGTTTTTAAGCCATTACATCCTGTGTAGCAAAATGCAGGCTCTCACATCTCAGTGAAAAAACTAGAACATCCCTTTCCTAAATTCTCCCTGCACTGCACAGGGCCTGTGTCTGAACACAGGACGCCTCTGAAAAATTATGCTTTCTTACTCTTTCTGAATCAGAATCCCTAGGGGGAGGGGCTAGGAAATTAGGTTTTCCAAGCTTCAGAGGTATTTCTTAGGCACATGAGGCCCTGCTGAGTTCCCCCTTACATCAGAGTCGCCAGAAGACAGAATTCCCTAGAGCAGGGCCCAACTCACACTGACTCTCACCACCCTCGGTCCCCGACTCAGGCTCCAAGTTTGGACCCCAAGTTCCCTTGCCTACCCTGGACCTCTTTCCTCCTCACCTTTATTTTTTTTTCCCTTGTCTTGTTTTCTCCAGGAATTTTATGAACTGGCTGTTAATATTAAAAGTTAAATTATATAAATCTATAATTAAATGATATTAGAAGCAAAAGTAATAAATACTAAAAAGTCATCGCCTCCTGATTATCTTGCTACATTTTGCTCTATCTGTGCTTTGGAGATTGTCTGTTTCTGTTATATCTCTATTCGAAACCCTATACAATAATATGCAGTGAATCTTCAGTCAGCGATATCCTGTTGGAAGCTTGAAAGCAAGTGGTGGAGGTTTTACACCTTAGAAACCAACAAATGCTACAAACTAGGGCTTGATTACCTTTTCCTAAGAAAGTGCTGGGAAATGTTAAAATGCAGATTAAGCTGAAAAACGTGTAATATCTGTAGCTTTTGCATTGTGAATAGCTCCAAAGAAATTCTGGGAATGTTCTTCTAATATCTGAAAAACTATTATCAAATTCAGCAAGGGAACTTGCTCACATCACTGAAGAATGAATGAAGTTCTGACATATGTCCCTTTACTTTTTCTCTTTTTTTTTTTAAATAATTTTTTAAATGTTTATTTCTGAGAGAGAGAGAGAGACAGAGAGTGAGCAGGGGAGGGGTAGAGAGAAAGGGAGACACAGAATCCGAAGCAGGCTCCAGGCTCCAAGCCGCCAGCACAGCTGGGCCTGAACCCATGAATCATTAGATCATGACCGAATGAGCCACCCAGGCGCCTGTTTTTTCTTTAATGTTTATTTTTGAGAGAGAGAGAGAGAGCAGGGGAGGGGCAGAGAGAGACACACAGAGAATCCCAAGCAGGCTCTGTGCTGCCACTGTGGAGCCCAACGCAGGACTTGAACTCATGAACTGCTGAGATCATGACCTGCGCTGAAGTCAGACACTTAACCAACTGAAGCCAGCCAGGTGCCCCTCCTTTTGCTTTTCCTTTTAAATTGACTTAAACAAAATATCAACCAACATTCAGATCGTAGCTAGATTCTTTTGTCAGTTGCAACCATAGGCTGGTGACAGCTACGGATCCCAGAAAAAAAATCAAGGAGCCGTTCGTAGAGAATAGACTGTGGAATTCACAACAGAAGTAATGTATGCTTTATTATTTGTAAATTGTGTGCTACCTATCCTTTACAACATTTAAATTTATAACAAACCTATGCATATATGTATACGCACACTTTTTTCAGAGAGCCAGTTGTTAAACATTTACCAAGAAACCACTGTCTAAGCCTCAATGTCTTCCTCCACCACCTCCCCCCAGAGTGTCTGTGTGAGCACTGGATAAGACATGAACCTGAGACCCACGTGCCCAGCACTGCTGGCCAGGCCAGCGCGGGAGGGGCCCTGGCATTTCCCTCACTTGGGGTTCCTGTTCCGCACTACAAAATTCTACCTCTTCCCTTGATTCTATGCAGTCCTGTCCTGCCCATCACCCCACTCTGTGTCTTCATGTTTCCTTATGTTGTGGACCACTTCCCTGTGACCTAAAAACATACCAGCATCTGTCTTCTCTAGGTTAAAAAAAAAAAAGTTCTTTCCTGACCCCAAGCTACCATCCCCACTCTGCCCAGGCCTCCTCGGCCAGCCATCTAGACAGAAAAGTCAGCCATCACGGCTCTTTCTCCCCAACGCCCACCCACCTCTCACCCTAGCACCAAATGCCCTTCACAGGGAAGCCAGTCTCTCAAAAATCTCCACTGACCCACTTTCCATGCCCCAGACCCCCTGTCTGGCCTCATCTGACTTCATCTCGTCTTCAAATTGCTTCTGTCCTCAAAATAGCATCTTCTCCATGGCTTCCTTGTATCTCCAGTTCCTTCTTCCCCACAGCCCAGGCACCATTATGTTCTACCATTAGTCACTCAACTCAAATTCTTGAGTTGCTACTCCAGTCTTGTGAAGGTGGCTCCCGTGGTCTTTGTAGTCTGGCGTCCACAAAGCATTCACTTCCTCCCTTCTTTCTTCCTCTGAGACGTTCCCCTGGCACATGACCCGAGGGTCTGGGGAGCCGGACCTGACCATGGGCTCCAGGACAGAGCCCAATCAGGGTAATGCTATTCCAGCCCTTTCCTGTGCTTGGTTCAGCAATGGACGTGTGTGCAAGAAATTATTCCACAACCCTCGATATCTAGTGTCTCCATCCCCCTTAGTAGCAGAATTACAGTTGGGCACACAGATCTCTAGGAAGAAAGGCATTTTATATTCTCCGATGCAGCCAGGAGTGGCCAAGTTCTGTCCAGCATGACATGAATGAAACCATTTGCGACTAGCATCGTGCCCTTCAAATGAAAGGCCACGCCATCCCCTTCTTCAAACCATTCCCATGGCGGGTCGGGGGTGGAGGGGAATATCCCTGCCCTGATTTTTTTAAATATCATCAAGCCCTCTCTACATAGCTCCACAAAACTTGTAGCATTTTACTCTCCACCTCCAAGCAAGGGTCATAAACAATGAGACTGCTAGTGAGTCTGGGATTCATTACCACCTCCTCCCCAGCCCCACTGTCACTACCCTCAATGGGCCCACAGTTCTTCTCCAGGTATCTGTGGAAGGAAGCTTCCCTGACTCTAGCTGCTCCCCAGAGAAGCTGATCCCCTGCGCCAGGCCATGTCCAAGCCGTCTGAGCGCCCCCAGCACTGGCAGCCACACTTCCCACCCCTGGCTGTAGATTGCAAGGGCCTGCTGAGCTCTTTCTGCTCCCCATTTCCTGGGCCCTAACCTGGAAAATCTCAAGGCGGTGTGGGTGGGGCCCAGGAAGCTGGTTTGTGGGTAATTCTGGTGGTTAGGAGGCTGGGGGGGGGGCTGACCCTCAGGGGGCCCAGAGTACCCTGGGCAGCTTCACCCGGTGTGGACGGGGGCCAGCCTCCAAACACTCCTCGGAGCCTTTGCTCTTGCGGTTCCCACGGCAGGGAACGCCCTCCCTTCCTTGATTACAAGGTGAATCCCTATTCATCTCTGAACATCTGTCGCAAATGTCAGCTCCTTTATGGCTCTCTCTGAAATCTGAGCGATGATTCCCTACATTCGTCATTCATGCAAACATTTATTGAAGGCCATTATGTGCCAGGCTCTGTAATTACAAAGATAACACACCTATTCTGCCTTTGAGTCTGGGTTGAGGAGGTAGCCACACCACAAGTTCAAAACCTTACATTGTTATGTGTTTAATCTTTTTTCTCCTAGTTATAAAAATAGTGCACACGCATTATAAAATGTTCCAAAACTAAAAAATAAGTCCCTCAGATGTAACTATTACAAGTACTTTGGTATGTAATTACCCAGTTGTAGTTAATACTTAATAAAATTGAGTTTCATTGAAAAAACTTTTTAATGTTTATTATTTATTTTTGAGAGAGAGAGAGAGAGAGAGAGAGAGAGATAGTACAAGCAGGGGAGGGGCAGGGAGAGAGACACACACAGAATCTGAAGTAGGCTCCAGGCTCTGAGCTGCCCGCACAGAGCCTGAAGCAGGGCTTAGGCTCACGAACCATGAGACCATGACCTGAGCCACGGTCAGACACTTAACTGGCTGAGCCGCCCAGGTGCCCCATCAAAACTGCGTTTCAAACATAATGTTTGGAACACCTGGATGGCTCAGTCAGTTAAGCGTCTGGCTCTTGACTTTGGCTCAGGTCATGATCTCATGCTTCATGACTTTGAGCCCCACATGGGGCTCTGTGCTGACAACTCAGCCTGGAGCCTTCTTCGGATTCTGTGTCTCCCTCTCTCTCTCTGCCCCTCCCCCACTCATTCTCTGTCTCAAAAATAAATAAAACATTAAAAAAATTTTTTTAAAACCTCCCTGACTATACATCTATGTTTATTTGCATGAGTGCCTCTGCAAGATAAAATCTTAGAGGCAGAATCCTAGAGGTGAACAATACAGGGTTAACAGCGAGCCCCGAACTGCTCTCCAAAAAGCTGGGATGATTTTGTACTCTTACCAAAGGTGTCTGAGAATGTCTTGAACAGATAAATGATTATTGCTTAATGTTTATTTTTTGAGAGTGGGGAGAGGAGCAGAGAGAGAGGGAGACACAGTATCTGAAGCAGGCTTCAGGCTCCAAGCTGTCAGCACAGAGCCCGACACAGGGCTCAAACTAATGAACTGCGAGATCATGACCTGAGCCGAAGTCAGACACTTAACCGACTGAGCCACCCAGGCGCCCCTGTGCAGACTTTAATAAGAGCATTTGGTATGTTGTCCTACAGGAGTGGGCTGAAGAAGTGTCACACTAAACATGGGTCTCAATCTTAGGGTCCGTCCAAGGTATCACCAAAGATTGCAAGTATTGGCTCTGGCAATGAGATGGACAGGACCCAGCCTTCCAGAAGTAACTTGTTCCTCTTCTCCAGTCTCTCTCTTTCAAGGCTCAGAGTTCGTCTTCCTCACTAGACTGTGTGTGTCCTGGGGAGGGCACAAGATTTGTCTACGACCTCCTTGTAAAGGAGTTGTGGTTTCAGAGCTTAACGTGCCGGGCATTGCCAGAGCCAGCTGGATCAACGTGGAGTCATGAAGGAAGGGCCAAACCACATTCGGGTTGGACAGAGGTGCTGGTGTTGAAGGCACAAGGAGTGGCTGGCCTGTCCTGGAAGTTATCAGACGATGACAGAACTGCAGGCGTTAGGAGTCCACCGTGATTCACAGTTTATATTTCGACAGAAAGACGATTGAACCTGTCTGTAAACGGCATCATAGAGAAGTAAGAAGAGCGTCGTCCTGTTTAGGGGCCAGCGTGGCCGGGAGGTGCTGCCGAGGACACGCTGTCTCTGGGCAAACTCGGAGAATAAGCCAACACTCCCCAAGAGGCTGGCTTCTATCTGGAATGGCTGGGAATCCCAACAGCTCAGATATCCTGTATCGAGTGCCAGGTGCCTGCTAAACACCTTATATCCATGAACTCGTGTAGTCCTCACGGCAACGCTATTACTGCCTCCACTGTACAGACGAGAAAACCGGGGCACCAGGGCCAGTAAGTGGAGGAGGCAGAATCTGAGCCCAGGCGGCGCTGCCCACTGCTCTCCTCTGCTCTGGCTGACAGGGGTGTGGAGGACTCTCCGCTGGCTCTTTCTGCAGGGGTGCTCTGAGGAGATGAAACGACAGCACCCCGCTAGGGGCAGGGTCTCTACATACCGTTGACGACTCTGTGAACGTGTGAATGAATGGAAGCACCCAGAAGGGCTCCGGGGCCACGCACTGGAGATTGCTTCCCAACTCCCAACCACCATCAGTGGAGCAAACACTGGTTCATTCTGGAGCAACCGACCGAGGCTTCCTCCTCTGGCCCCACTGTTCACTTCCTCACACACAGGTGTTTAAGAGGCGAACGTGGAGGCATCTGCTCAAGTAATTCCACTGTGGCCCGGGGTAGAGAGGAGCTCTCGGGGCAAGTCTGGCCAAGAGCTGGTCTGGGAACATCATACCAGCAAACCCACTTGAATCAGAAACCAGGATGGAACGCGCTGACCGTTTGACTGTTTTTCCAATTTGCTTTTAATTTTCGGATCGTGCACAGACATGCTCATTCCCCTTCGATCACACATGACAGGCAGACTTATTAAGCTATTGCTACTCTGACTGTTCTGAGCTAGTGAATGAGGTAGTCCCTGGGGCGGGGAGCCCATGTCGGGTAGAGCGAAGGGAGAGAGAAGGAGGCACCTACCTTGGCTTCAAAGAAGTCCTTGGCACCTTTCACACCCTCCCGGGCCACGTCGATCTCAGAGAGCTTCGCCAGCGCCATTAGCCCACTGTCTTCCTGCAGCTCCCCCGCTGCGGCCTTGTGGAAGATGAGTAAGAACTGCAGGAAAGGGTTGATTAGAGTCCGGGTCAACCTCACTGAGACTTACAGCGGTCCCCTCCAGCCCAAGGGAAAGTCATTCCCACCGAGCCTACAGAAACAGTACAAATACGTGCGTGTGGCCAATTGGTTTCTCCCTTATTGCACTGTCAGAAATAAACACATGCTCGTTTTCCACAGGAATGTAGGGAAATGGGCACCTTCGTATCCAGTGGAAGGGAATGTCAAGCGATTCAGATTCTTTGGAGGGCACTTTGGAAACATTTACCAAAAATAAAATGCTCCCAACCATTAATTCCGCTGCTGGGCATCTGTCCCTCAGAAACATTTGCACAACAGTTTAAGAAGCATTGTCTATAAAAGCAACAAACACTGTCCATGTCCTAGGTTGCGGCCATGGAAGAAAAGAAATCCGACAGACCTATATGCACTATTTTTCAAAACTGAAACTAAATAATTGCCAATGTTTTTAGTCATCCATATTTTCTGTTTGTGTCCCCCCTTTTACATTAGATTATTTACTCTTGTTAGTATTCTTTTTTCCTTTTAACGATTTTTTTTTTTAATGTTTGCTTATTTTTGAGAGATAGAGAGAGACAGAGTGCAAGCTAGGGAGGAACAGAGAGAGAGAAGGAGACATGGAATCTGAAGTAGGGTCCAGGCTCTGAGCTGTCAGCACAGTGCCCGATGCGAGGTTCAAACTCACAAACGGTGAGATCATGACCTGAGCCAAAGTGGGGCACTTAACTGACTGAGCCACCCTGGAGACCCCAAACATTTTGATTTTTAAGGAATCTCTCTACCCAACATGGGGCTTGAACTAATGACCCTGAGATCAAGACTTGCATGCTCTACTGACTGAGCCAGCCAGGCGCCTCTCTCAAGTGTTTTCTAAGAGATCTTTACAGAACTTGGTATGTTTCAAATATTTCACTTGCATTTAAATCATGTTTATGATCATTTTTGGCTCTCAAAAATTTTACTTATTATTATTTTAAAAAAATTTTTAAATGTTTTATTTCTGAGAGAGAGAGATAGCATAAGCAGGGGAGGGTCAGAGAGAGAGGGAGACACAGAATCTGAAACAGGCTCCAGGCTCTGAGCTGTCAACACAGAGCCCGACACAGGGCTCGAACCCACGAACTGTGAGATCATGACCTGAGCCGAAGTTGGACACTTAACCAACTGAGCCACCCAGGCGCCCCTCTATTGATTATTTTTAAGAGACAGAGAGACAGAGTGTGAGCAGAGGAGGGGCAGAGAGAGAGGGAGACAGAATTCCAGGCAGGCTCTACGCTCTGAGCTGTCAGTACAGAGCCCAACGCGAGTCTTAAACCCATGAACTGTGAGATCATGACCTGAGCCAAAGTCGATGCTTAACCGACTAAGCCACCCAGGCGCCCCTCAAAAACTGTATATAAATCATCAGTCTTTTTCTTTTCTCTCACTACTGCACCCGTGTTATGCTTAGAAAAACCTTTCTTGCCATCAAGGTTACAGCAACAATCACCTATGTTTTTGTCTATTGCTTTTATGACTCCTTTTTTGTTAAATGTGTAAATATTTAATCTCTGAAATTTATTCTGATCTATCCTGTGAGGTTGATCATTAACCCTATTTTCTTCCAAATGGTTAGTTAGCAATCCCCATGCCATTTATTAAATAATCCACCTTTTTCCTGCAGGTTCCAAATGTGGCCTAAATGCATTAATCTTTAAAGCCAATTTGTACCATAGCCTCCACACATGTATTTTTAAATAAATAAGTCAAGCTGAAATGGCAGGTCCCTCACTTTCCAGACCTTCTCCCCCAAAGCCATTTTAGGGCTTTGACTTCTCTAACGAATTTTGGCAAATCTGTTCATCAAACAACTGCTGTACAAACTTCTAGAATTTATTTTTCCAAGTCAGCCCAGAAAGGAGCTTCTCCAGGTTTTTAGGTGCTATGTAAAACACGGGGGTCTACAGGGGAATTTTGAATTTTCAGGGTATTTTTCATGACCATTCGTCTAAAGAACGGCTTCCCCGAGGGAAAAGAACATTACCTAAAGTTGACTGAGAGGTCAAACAACTTCAACGGGCTTTCCACATTCCAACCTGGGTATCTTTTCCTGCCAAGACTCTTAATCCCTAGAGGGAAGTGTGTTTCATTAAGTGGAAGTCTCAGGCTCTCCCACTGCCACCACCCCAAAACGCCTTGCTAACGAACCTTTCTTTGTAATTCTTGCTTCAGGGCCCCTGACTCCACTGTGGACATTGCCCAACGCGAAGCAAGGGATGAAGCAAGATGCTCAAAGATTCGTAGCTTTGGGGAGGCTGTTGCGGTCAACTTGGCTCCACGGGAATGCCACGTTCATCCACCTGCAGCTTCAAACTCTCTCACTAGAGGCCGGCAGAGATTCAGCTTCCTGCAGACTTCTCCCGGAGGCCAGGATCCTGGCTCCAAGTCTTGGAAAACAAGCCTATTGGAGGTGAGGCTCCCGAGGACAGGATAGGGGACAAGGGGGTTTAGGGGGACGGTCGTGGTCATGGTCGGGCTCTCACGGAAGAGAATGTGGCAGCAAAGATGCCAGCACTTGCAAACGTGAGTCGTGTGCAGATGGCGGGAGTAAAACACCTGTCCCTCAGCACCCTGCCCACCCTTAAAATACTGACAGCCTTACAGAACCCCTCCCCTCCCCCCACCCCTTGCTCCTTAAGGCAAATACGAAACAGGTGGCCCTCCACCCAGTGAGGGCAGCTCAGGAAAGATGGGCATTACCCCCCGCCAGCCTAGCAGCCACGCAAGTGACCTTGGTGGGGTTTCCTCATCCCCGAGACCCACTTCTCTCATATGTACTGGTGTTTACAGAAAGGCCTAAAGTACTCCCCATGGATCTGTTCTCTCTCTACAGGCTCACAGATCACCAAGGGCAGCCCTGTCATAACTTAGGGGTCTCTGCCCCAGCCAGTTGAAGGGAAAAAAAAATCCAACCCAACTTGAAAGTGTTTAGCCTTCCATAAAGCATGCCAGGCATCCCCATTTCATTTCACTATGATCACCAACTCCGAATGACAATTTCCCCAACTGCCCAGCCTTGTTTGTCTTCCTATTTATAGTCCACAAAGACTGGTATGTTGTGAAGAATTGGAAAGGGTCCTAGCTGTGACTATGAGCAAAGAGGAGGGGGGAGGGGAGAGGAGAAGCAGAAAACAAAGAAACAGAGAGAGAACAAAGCTTAAAAAAAAAAAAAAATTCAGACACAAGCTATCCAATGCTTCTTGTAAATTTAAAGAATTTTTTAATAAATACATTTTTAAATTTTTTAAATGTTTGTTTTTGAGAGAGGGAGACACAGTGTGAGTGGGGGAGGAGCAGAGAGAGACACACACACATACAGAATCCAAAGTAGGTTTCAGGCTCTGAGCTGTCAGCACAGAGCCCAATGTGGGGCTCGAACTCATGAACCATGAGATAATGACCTGAGCCAAAACCAAGAGTTGGACACTTAACTGACTGAGCCACCTCGGAACCCCAAATTTAAAGAAATTTTTAAAAAAATGTTTTTAAGTAAATCCTACCCCAAATGTGGGGCTCGAACTCACAACCCGAGATCAAGAGTCCCATGCGCTACTGACTGATCCAGTCAGGCGCCCCTAAATTTAAAGAAAATTTTTTAAATTTCATGCCTCTGGGGATGTAAACACCTCCGTGTATTAGCCAGCACTCTAAGGTTGCAAATGACAGAAACAGACTTGTTGGCATAAGCAAAAAGGAGGTATTTGTTATATAAAAAGGATGTCCCGGGGCACCTGGCTGGCTCAGTCAGTGAAGGGTGCAATGGTTGATCTCAGGGTTGTGAGTTCGAGCCCCACGTTAGGTGTAGAGATTACTTAAAAATAAGATCTTTATTAAAAAAAATTTTTTTTAATTTATATTTGAGACATAGAGTAGGAGTGGCAGAGGGGCAGAGAGAGAAGGAGACACAGAATCACAGCAGGCTCTAGGCTCTGAGCTGTCAGCACAGAGCCCGACGTGGGCCTCGAACCCATGAACCATGAGATCATGACCTAAGCCGAAGTTGGACGCCCTACCAACTGAGCCACCCAGGCGCCCCAAAAATAAAATTGGGGAGGGGAGGAGACGGGAGGGGAGGGAAGGGAAGGGAAAGGAAGGGAAGGAGAATGTCCCAAGGGCAAAATGCACTAGCCCAGGAGAGGCCTGGGACTGGGAGAAACCATGCTCTCAGGACTGGCCGCAACATTCCTCCTGTAGCTCTGTGGGTGGTCCCCGTGGTGGGAATGGCTACCCCGCAAGGACTTATTCCTGCAGGAACAGCCACCTGCAGAACCAACTCGCAGTACTTCACCCCAGTTTCAAATTCCCAGGATGGGACACCTGGGTGGCTCCCTTGGTTGAGCACCCAACTCTCGATTTTCGGCTCAGGTCATGATTTCACGGTTCGTGAGTTCGAGCCCTGCATCAGGCTCGGTGCTGACAGTGCAGAGCCTGCTGGAGATTCTCTCTTTCCCTCTCTCTTCCCTTCCTTGAGTGTGCCCCCTCTCTTTCTCAAACAAATATTTAAAAAAATTCCCAGGATAGGGACTCTAGTGGACCTAGTCTGACCAGCGGCCCATCCATGGTCCAATTAGCAATGATGAGGCTCAAGGACAACCCAGCACAGAAGGGCTGCCAGGGCTCCACCCAAGGGAGGGTACAGTAGGAAGAGAAAATGGGACCCACAGTTCCCAGTACTGACAAGTATCCAGTAAACCCATCGCCCAACCTTTGTACAAAACCACCGCACATCTGGCCTTGGACCAATTCTTCTTTGAGACAGATGTAAGGGAACTAGAGAAGAATACAAGAAAAAGAGAGGAGGCTATTAAGGCTTCTTAGACTGCCTCCAAAGGAGAAGGAGGTGGGGAGTACCTAGGATCTAATTCCAGATGGCTACAGCTACTGGGATAGAACTGCTAATCCTACTTGTTACGTTGTCTACGTTTCTTCTCTGGTCATGAAGAGTGCTGCATAATCATTTTGAACAGTTCCACCTAAGCCATTTTCTAACATGCCCCGAAAGTGCATGCACTATTTTTTCATAATTGGAAAATAAATGGTTTAAAAGAAAGATCAATTGCTTTGTACACAAGGGGAAAAGTAAACGTAGCAAACCTGTACTTAATGGAGACATACCTTGTGTACCAAAGAGCTTTGATGTGGATGTGACCAGCTTTAGGTTGTTTTTTTTTTTTTAAGTTAATCCAAACAGAGAGCAAGGAAACACAAAGCACCTACTAAAAGCCAGGGTGCAAGGGAAGAACTGCAGAAGAGAGCAGTGTTGTGTATCTGGCAACCTGGCCCCCATGTGATGATGAAGTTGGGAGTGTTGACTAGGGTGCCCTGTGGCACGTGACTTGGAACGAGCCCATTGCAGGACCCTGGATGTAAGGACTGGTCCAGGAGGTGGGCACATGTCCCTCACAGGGCCCATCAGAGGCCTCTGAGGCTCGTATAACCCCTGCTAAATGGAGCCAGCACAACCTGGAGCTGCCAGCAGCCACCTCGGCAGGCGTCAGGGACCAGACATGGTGGGGAAGGAAAAGGGGAAGTGGACATGGAAGCAGCCCAGTCACTGTCACGATATGACGAGAGGGGTGCTGCTGGCTGACTCGGTTGAGTAGGTGACTCTTGATCTCGAGGTTGTGAGTTTGAGCCCCACGATGGGTGGAGAGATTCTTAAAAATAAAATCTTTAGGGGCACCTGGGTGGCTCAGTTGGCTGAGCAGCAGACTCCTGATTTTGGCTCAGGTCATGATCCTGGGGTCATAGGTTCGAGCCCCGCACCGGGCTCTGCACCAAGCACGGAGCCTGCTTAGGATTCTCTCACTCCCTCTCTCTCTGCCCCCCCCCATAAACAAACAAACATAGATACATACATAAACTTAAAAAAAACCCAGAAAAAAAAAAAAAAAAAAAAATCTAAAAAAAAAAAAAAAAAAAAAAAAAAAAGCTATGAGGGTGGCTCAGTCGGTTAAGCATCCAACTTCGGCTCAGGTCATGATCTCGCGGTTCATGAGTTCGATCCCCACATCAGACTTCGTGCTGACAGCTCAGAGCCTGGAGCCTGTTTTGGATTCTGTGTCTCCCTCTCTCTGCCCCTCTCCCCTTGTCCTCTCTCTTTCTCAAAATAAAAAACATTTTAAAAATTAAAAAAAAAATCTATGACAAGAGTAAGACACTGCATTACTATGCCTGGAGCCTCCACTTCATGTCCCAGGCGTGTGAGCCAACAGTTGTTTCGTCTGTTCTTGTTTCAATCAGCTGGCATTCTCTGTTGCCTGCGATCAAAAATTCTACCTGACACAGGTGTGGGGAGAGAACTTCCTTCTCACAACAGGCCTAATACCCCTGTTTAAAGACAGAAAAACTGAGCTCTCAGAAGTCAAATAACTTCCTCAAGTTACGCAGCTCTGAGCGGAGACCCAGGTCTGGCTGTGAGCCTCTTTTCATCACCTAAGCACAGCATCAGCTCCCTGGTGGCCCCCAGCACCAGTGGAAAACAGCAGAATAAAAAAATAAAAGCAGGTCGGGCCGTTGGGTATTTATGGCAAACACTTTCAAATCCTTTTTTTTTTTTAATGTTTTATTATTTCTGAGAGAGAGACACACACAGCATGAACAGGGGAGGGTCAGAGAGAGAGGGAGACACAGAATCTGAAGCAGGCTCCAGGCTCTGAGCTGTCAGCACAGAGTCCAACGCGGGGCTTGAACCCACAATCATGAGATCATGCCCTGAGCCGAAGTCGGACGCTTAACCGACTGAGCCACCCAGACGCCCCAAACACTTCCAAATCCTGTACATCTGAGCACAACTGCGAGAGGCGGGACCACAATGGGGCTCTGAACCGACAAAGGACAGACACAAATGTCACTGAAGCTTTGTAAGGGGAGTGAGAACCAAAGGAACACTCTGGAGATTTCCAAACCTCTGATGTCCACCCTCTGTAGGAAACGGCCAAGCCCGTGGCTAACCAAAAGCTAACCAGGCACCTTGGATTCCGGGAGGAGTGTGTCTGAGTGGCTCCTGGGTGACCCAGTGGAGAGGGATGGCATCTTAGCTCAGTTGGTAACCTGCACAGACCTCTCAACACTCTCTCAATTTCTGTTCCCCACAGGTCACAACTTTGCCACGGAAGCTCTCTTTCCCCAGTGTTGCCTCCAAAGCTTCACCAACACAAAAGCTTTTACCTTCTATCCCCCAGGGACAGCCAGGTTGAAAGGGCCAATGTTTAGCACAAATGACACAAAGGAACTGAATGAGACGCAAGGGAGCCAGAGGGACACCTGCGAAGGTGAGTGTGGCGGGTGACGACGGGAGGCTGTGGGCACAGAGGCTGCCCCCCACATCTAGCCCTGAGCTGGAGCGTTGAGTTCAGGCAAGTGCTGACTTTTTTGACCCTCTAGCTCCTTAGCTCTGAACTCAGAAGGCTGGGCTACACTCTCCTGAGGGTTATGCCCAACATGGGTTTTCCGTGATCTTCTCTCTCGGCATCTGCCAGCTCAGGAAAGGAAGAGAAGGGGGGGATCTCGAGTTGATTTTGGGGACAGTGAAAGAGGCAAGGCCGGTTTCATCTTGGCTGGTCAGACGGGACTCATCGCTGCCAGTTCAGCCACAGGAACCTCAACAGGAATGTCCCAGGGCCCTATCTAGCCTGGAGAGAAGACGGGTACTTGGCCAAAACTCTCACCATCGGAATCCAGGACACCAGAACGCCACTGTTTACGGAATAACTGAGGTTATACACCAGGAAGCGGGGACAGGGCTCTCTCTTCCCAGCCCCTGGGGGCCCAGCTGACAGAACAAGACCTCAGCAGCTGGGCTGATGCTCGAGCTTCTAGCCGAATGTTGTCCCCAAAGCTGTTCTAACGCCAAGGCACAATGACATGTCTAGAGCCCTTACAATGAAGCTCAAGCATGTAAGACACGAACCCTTCCCTGTGGGGCCACATCCTTCCCTTGCAAGACACGCAATGGCCTTGAGACTCCCCTCCAGATAGAAATGGACTTAAATCACCAAAGTTCTCACACGTTTAAAGATCAGACTTTGAATACACTTGCATCCTCTAGAATGATACCTATACACACAAAATTTTGTTCCAATTTTAGGGACTCAAAGGCCAGAAAAGCCCATACTTGGATGGTTATGGGGAGGAGGGGAGATCCATGACCACAGAGTAAAACCCTTTGTTTAATTGGTTTTTTACAATTTTTTCAAGATATTTTTAAAGTTTATTTTTGAGAGAGAGAGAGCGCACACATGCACAAGCAGGAAAGGGGCAGAGAGAGAGAGAGAGAGAGAGAGAGAGAGAATCCCAAGGAGGCTTTGTGCTCAGCGCAGAGCCCGACGCGCGGCTCAAACTCATGATCCGCGAGATCATGACTTGAGCCAAAATCAAGAGTCGGATGCTTAAATGACTGAGCCATCCAGGTGCCCCAATTGTTTATTTAACTATTTTTAAATACTTACTATAAAAAAATTTAAGGTTTGGGGCGCCTGGGGGGCTTAGTCGGTTAAGCGTCCGACTTTTGCTTAGGTCATGATCTCGCAGTTCGTGGGTTCAAGCCCCGCGTCGGACTCTGTGCTGACTGCCAGCTCAGAGCCTGGAGCCTGTTTCAGAGTCTGTGTCTCCCCCTCTCTCTGACCCTCCCTGCTCATGCTGTCTCTCTCTCTCTCTGCTAGAAATAAATAAAACATTAAAAAAAAAATTTTAAGGTTTACTATATAAAAAAGTATAAAACTTTGATCAAAGTAGCAAAACTTCACGCCCCCAAATATCCACTACGAGCATGTTGGTAAGCATCCCTCCAGATTTCTTAGCACTTACCGTTTCACCCAAGTGAGGCTGTCCCCACCCCACCCACGGGGACTTCCAGTCGGCTCCCTGAACGTTTCCCCATGCCAGCACTGCCGTTCACTGGCTTCTTACAGATATTGTAAAAGAACTCAAAGTTAACTCTCCCAGTGGCGCTCTGGAGGGGTCAAAGCCACTTGTGCTGCAGGGGACGATAAATGTGAGTCTCCACTCAGGGGGCCATGCCCCACAGTGACTCAGGCCAGCAGGACACCCGCCCGCATGTACCTCACGGAAGCTGAGCTGGCCATCAAAGTCCTCGTCCACCTCCTTGATCATGCTCTTCAGGCCCAGGTGGGTCTGGGGGGCCCCCAGCTTCTCCATCATCAGCTTCAGCTCCATCAGGTCAATGAAGCCGTCCCGTCCGGCGTCGTACCTGCGGGGATCAAAGGAAGGACACTGACAAGGGACCGCCATGGCCAGCAGGGACAATACAACACCAGTCACTCTCCCAAACAGCTAATTCTTTTGGCCTCATTTACTGAAAAACGATTCAGTTAGTTACCTGCTGCTTTGCCGTGCCCTCCTGGGTCACATCAGAGGGGACCCCCTTCTCGAAACACCTTTGGGCCCCGCACAACATGATTCAAAGGCGATCTTGTACTTCGTGGAAGTCTTCACGTCCTTTATCTCCTTAGCTAAGCCCTAAGTTTCTTGAGGATGAAGAACATTCCAGAAGACTCCTCTTGGGTTCTGCCCCCTGCACTTCCACAGACCCCTCTGCTCCTCCTGGTCTCCTGCCTGTGGAAACCGGTTCCCAACCTATCGCACCTGGGAAGCAGCCTGGCCCCGGCTCTCGGGTTCTAAGCTTTGCCCTCTGGCCTGGTCATCTAGTGTCCAGGTCCAAAAGGTCATGTCCATGCCAGTGACTGCTGAGCGGGGAGCTGGCTTTGACCTGGTGGCTGAGCTTTACCACAGAGCCAATCACTTCCGCTGGCTGCCCTTCCAGCCCTCCTCCTCCACCCACCTCTCCACCCCTGGTTCCCTGGCCTCACCACGGTGGGGGGTGCCTCTACTCCTCAGTGCCTGGGCTAACCCACGGGAACCTTCTTCAGCCTTCTGTCCTCTGCTTTCTCCCAACGTCTCCACCCCCGATTCCCAACACACCCGGGCTACGACAGGGTTTTCTCACGGACCCCCGGCTCTCCTCCCTCAAGTCCATCCCATCTTCTTCTCCTGAGAGATCTCTTGTGGCTCAGGTATGAATGAACATCTTGCTTTAAAAAGTAAATCCGGGGACGCTTGCGTGGCTTAGTCAGTTGAGTATCCAACTCTTCATTTGGCTCGAGTCATGATCCCAGGGACATGGGATCGAGCCCTGTGTAGGGCTCTGAGCTGAACATGGAGCCTGTTTAAGATTTTCTCTCTCTCTTGCAATGCCTGGGTGGCTTAGTCAGTTAAGCATACAACTTCAGCTCAGGTCATGATTTCACGGTTCGCAAGCCCAATGCCAGGCTCTCTGCCGTCAGTGCAGAGCCTGCTTCAGATTCTGTCTCCCTCTCTCTCTGCCCCTTCTCCTCTCTCGCTATCTCTCAAAAAAAAAAAAAAAAAAAAACATTAAAAAAAATTCTGGGGGGCCCTGGGGGGCTCAGTCGGTTAAGCGTCTGACTTCAGCTTGGGTCATGATCTCACAGCTCATGAACTTGAACGCCACGTTAGGCTCTGCGCTGACAGCTCAGAGCCTCAAGCCTGCTTTGGATTCTGTGTCTCCCTCTCTCTCTGCCCCTACCCCTCCTCTCAAAAATAAATAAACACTAAAAAAATTTTAATGAAGAAAATTAGAAACTATACAAAATTCTCTCTCCCTCTGCCCCCTCCCTCACTTGCGTACACACTCTCTCTCTAAAACAAAAACAGTATTAATAATAAATGAAAAGCAAGTCTGTTCACAATAGCCAAAAGGTGGAAACACCCCAGGTGACCACTGACAATGGATGGAGAGACAAGACGCAGGACACCATACGATGGAACACGGTGTATTTCTAGGCCAGAATAATATTCACAATAAAAAGGAATGAAATTCTGACACGTGCTACAACACGGACCAACCTTGCCGACATGCAGGGCTGAAATAAGCCAGGCACAGAAGGACTGACACCGTACAGCTGTGTTTGTATGAGGGACCAGAACAGTGGGGACCAGGGCCTGGGCAGTGACGCTTTCATGGACTAGAGTTTCAGTCTGGGACAAGGAAAAAGCATGGAGGTGGACGGTGGGGGTGACAGTCACACAAGGGGGTGAATTGCACCGAGCCACGCGCTCACATGGTCAAGGTGGCAGACTGTAGGTACATTCCACAGCAGGAAAAACCGACGAACCGGGCAGGCTCCTGCACTGTCTGTCACCCTCCCCACGACAAAAGCCCACCATTGTCAGTGCACCCACACCCACCAAACCACCAAGGAATGCAGCCTGTGGGCAATGAGGCATCTAGCCCTGAAGGCTGCTGGTATTTTTGAGGCCCACGCACTCAGGCTGGAGATGAGGCCCAGGACTCGTGTGTCCAGCCACAGCAGCTGCCTCATGCCATTCCTCCCACCCAGAAAATCCCCCCACCTCGCTGTCCTCGGTGGCCTTTCTGCCCCCTTCCATCTCTGATGGCCAATAGCCCCACTGTCTGCCCTCTGCTCCTCGGCATTCGCCACCTCCTGCTGCTGGATGTTTCCTATCGCAGCAGCTCTGTGCTCCCACGACCCCAAACCCTGAAAGAAGGGAGCCACAGTCCTTCCAGCCTGTGACAGCCTTCTCCACTCCAGGCCGACCCCACACGTTGGGGGATGTGGGCCTGGTCCATGGGGGGCACCCGTGAAGGTCAATGGACCATGCCAGAATGGGAGCGGACGGAGGAACCGGCAGTATCTGGGCCCAGGAAGCAGAGCACCGCCTTCAGGTTGCGCATTTGAACTTCCCAGGAACATTCCCAAAGAGCAGCAAGAACGGGGCTCTGTGCGGGAACATGACTAAGCTGGCCTTTAGCCAACACACGGAAGAGCTTTCTGGCAAAAACAGCCAACTAGAATAGGACCTGGGGTAAGAAGAGCTCTTACAAACAGGCTGGAGGGACAGGCTCTGTTACAGGGAGTCCTAGTCAAAATAAACAGGCTTCTTTAGTGTGGAACTTTCCAGAGCCTTCCATATGGTCATCTGAAACCTACCAGAGGGAAACAGAGCACACAGACTCATCTGATCACACAGTCCTCTGCCTTTGGGGACTTTCCACTAGAAGGCACTTGTTGGCCACCTAGTGCTCCAAGGAAAACACTTTGGGAAACGCATCTCACAACAATTCGGCATTAGAAGGTCAGTGAGTTCAAGGACCGCAACGGTACCGGCCATGCCGAGACTTCGAATAGATGTCAATAAGCAACACACACGGTGCAGGTTTCAACAAAGTCTGCAGAGAGCAGGGGCACCGAATTGTCGAAGGGTGGTGCACCTCAGATGTGAAGGCAAGAACAGAGGGGGTTGGGGTATCTAAAGGGAGCAGTAAAAGCCTAGGTGTGAGAGAGGGGAGGGCCCAGAATGGGGGGGAAGCTGGGAAAGAGGATGAAGGAGAAGAGAGCTGGTCAGGGCGAAGGACCCACCAGGGTTCCCCACTCACGTAACCTGGAGCGAACACGGCCTCCCCCCCGGGGAACCCCAGTGGGGCTGGCACTCTGGGCTCACGCACAGGGAGGGGGCTGAGAACGTCAGCCTTCGGTTTCTCTTCTGGGGTTCTGACCGACATGAGCCCAGAAGGCTTGAAAAACGGTTTCCAGCCTGAAACATTCTCCAGGCCTAAGAAAAGGCACAAGTATGTCAGAAAGGGCCTCAGCAAAGTCTGGAAACAGGTTAAAGGCATTTAAAGAAATTTTTTTAGAAATATTTTTAATGCTTACTTTTGATAGAGGGAGAGTGCAGGTGGGGGAGGGGCAGAGAGACAAGGAGACACAGAATCCCAAGCAGGCTGTCTGCACAGAGCCCGACGCGGGGCTTGAACCCAAAAACCAGAAGATCATGCCCTGAGCTGAAGTCAAACCCTGAACCGACTGAGCCACCCAGGTGCCCCTCAAGAAATCTTTAAATAGGCAGGCAGACGTGACCACTTCAGCCCTGAGAAAAGGGCTGAAGGTGCATGTAGACAGACCCCTCTGTGTCACACAGGGGGCCATCGACCTGGCACAGCAACAGAGCCAGCGTGTGGATGTGGAAGGGACATGTCCGAAGCCGAGCAGGGCAGGGGAGTATGGGGTCATGAGCCAGCTACCACTTTCACTCCCTAGACTCAGGGAAGGCTGCTTGCCTGGCTTTGTTCCTCCCTGAAGCACTGGCCAAGGCCCATCTGTGTAAGTCCCAGAAGGATTAGAAAGTGACACATCAGTGGCGTCCTCACCCCTCCCGAGAAGCGTGTGTCCTTCGCCAGGGCTTGTCCAGTCACTTCCTTCAGGGCCTGGGTTTGTGAGACAGGCAGGAAAAACCTCCCAGGGCCCTTTCGTCATCTTTCTGTTTTATCTGATCCTCTCCAAGCACCCGGTGACCACGTGAGCAGTGCACGACATGGGATTCAAAGCACCCAATAACGAAAACTGGCCTGCTCTGCGGCCCACAACACACTGTCTCATGTACTAATTCTTTTCATCTTTACAACAGCTCTGTGAAGAATTAATAATAGTCGCCTGTGTTTATGGTTTATTGAGAGCTTACTAAGTGCCGGGCACTATGCAAAATCACCTTGTTTAATCCAGCAGTGCTGTGAAGTGGTAGTCACCCCACTGGGTAGATGGTGACAGAAGCATGCAGTGAAGCCACTTCCTGTGGATGAGAACGGACCTGGGACCCCGGAGCAGGCCCTTGGCTTTCCACGGGAGCAGAGAAGGCAGGGATGATCATTAACTCAGTTTATACTATGCGCCCCACACCCCCATGAGAGCTCAGAGGGCAGAGAGGTCACTCGATGCCTCAACAAAACAGACCACTATTGTAATGTCTACAATTTACACCTGAAGACATTGGCAGACATGAGCGGAGCCACAGTGCGGAGTCCTGAATGTGCGTGGATTCTTGGATGCTGAGTTTGGTCTCGAAGCATGCCGCAGCAGACTGCTCACATATCCAAAGTCATTAACTTCTGACCAAGAGAATCCCAATGTTGCCATCTTACAAAACACTAGAAGAAACAGTCTCATCACCCAAGCCCTTTGAAAAAATTCCATCTATTTGTCCCTCCAGCACTTCTGCGAGAGACCGTGTAGGACTGTTGAAGGAACTAGTGCCCATTGAAGTCAACGGGCCCAAGGTCACTAGGTCTGCTGAGGTTAACCGGAAGGACCCCTAGCCCGATCACCAAGCTCTCACCCCAAACCCTGGGTAGAGCAACCCAGTCACCAGGACTAATCT